CCCAGCGTCTCTGTAAGAGATTCCTATTATTTTATTGGATTAGCAGAGGAACTAAAACAGTGAAAACTCTTGGTACATGCCTTGAACAGTGTGAGCACACAACTGTCATTTCCTAGATATTCAACGAGGGGTGGGTTGAGGAGGTAGATTAAGCTAAACATACTTAGTCACTAATTCCAAGAGCTTGGTTTGTCTCTAAAGAAAAGTCCTTGGTCTCTGATCTCTTTATCTAGTGGAATTCTATGTTTACAAAAAACAAACTTTAGCACTGGACAGATAACTCATTGGTTTAGAGTGGGTATTGTTAAAAGGTTTTTGCACCCTGGTAGGCCTCTCCACCGACAATCCAAATTAGTACAAATTAAACCAAATTAGAAAAAGCTCCAGTTTGCCGGGTGGTGGTAGCACATGCCTTTAATTCCTGCACTCGGGAGGCAGAGCTAAGCAGATCTCTGTGAGTTTGAGGACAGCCTGGTCTACAGAGCCAGATCCAGGACAGACTCCAAAACTACACAGAGAAACCCTGTCTCAAGAAACCAAAAAAAAAAGAAAGAAAGAAAGAAAGAAAGAAAGAAAGAAAGAAAGAAAGAAAGAAAGAAAGAAAAAGCCCCAGTTTAATGGGTAAAGTGTTCCCGGGTAATTCTCCAGCCCCCCAGAGAGGAGACAGGAGAGACCAGAAAACCACATGTCTGCTTTCTGGGATGCAGCTTAAATACCCTGTGGGAGTGGTATTGAGCATCGTGGGGGAGAAGCCACCATATGGTTGCTGGGAATTGAACTTAGGACCTCTGGAAGAACAGCCAGCCAGTGCTCTTAACCTCTGAGCTATCTCTCCAGTCTCCTCTTCCTGCACGGTCTTCCCCATAGGTCTGTGCACACCCCTTCTGTTCCCTTCCCTTAATAAACTTTTATTGTAATATTTTATTTGTACTGAAATGGGATTTTATTTGTATGTTAATAAATAAAGTTGCCTGGGGTCAGAGCTAATAGCAAGCTGTAGATGGAGTTTTTCTGCCTGGCCCACAGTCAGGACAAATCTCTCTCACCTGCCAGTCCCACAGCCGCTCAAACCCGACCAAGTAAGCACAGAGACTTATATTGGTTACAAACTATATGGCCGTGGCAGGCTTCTTGCTAACTGTTCTTACAACTTAAATTAATCCATTTCCATTAATCTATACCTTGCCACGTGGCTCGTGGCTTACCGGCATCTTCACATGCTGTTTCTCATCGTGGCGGCTGGCAGTGTCTCTCTGCCTTAGCCTTCCTGTTCTCTCAATTTTCCTCTCTGTTAGTCCCGCCTATACTTCCTGCCTGGCCACTGCCAATCAGTGATTTATTCATTGACTAATCAGCAACACATTTGACATACAGACCATCCCACAGCAGCAAGCCATAGCAGAAGCTGGGCGGTGGTGGTGCACGCCTTTAATCCCAGCACTTGGGAGGCAGAGCTAGGCGGATCTCTGTGTGTTCAAGGATACAGCCAGCATTGGAGACACACGCCTTTAATCTCAATACCAACCATAGAAGACCTGGAGGTCTGTACAGACAGGCAGTGACCAGGAGGTCATGTGGTTGGGTTTACAACCAATGAGAAGGCAGAACAGAAAGTCTATAAGAAGACAAACAGACAGGAAGTAGGTCTCTTGACTGAAGAGGACAGCAGCAGCAGTGAAGGGTAAGGTTTTTAGCTTAGCTCTGACCTCTTGGGCTTTCATCTTTGCATTGGTTCCGTGTTTCTTATTTAATAAAGATGGTTACATCTACGGTTAGTGGTTCTTGTTGTACCTCATGGCTTTTCTCGCATGGTAAACAGTGCTTAGTGAATAACAGCTGTTCTTCCAGAAGGCTAAAGTTCAGTTCCCAGCACCCACTGCAGGCAACTCACAACTCTAACTCCAGCTCCAGGGGATCTGGTCCTCTTCTGACCTCTGCAGGCACTGCTTTCACGTGCACAAACACACACACACACACAGTAATTTTGTTTTGTTTTTCGAGACAGTTTCTCTGTGTAGTCCTGGCTGTCCTGAAACTATCTCTGTAGATCAGACTGGCCTCGAACTCAGAAATCCACCTTTCTCTGCTTCCTGAGTGGTTGGACTAAAGGTGTGCACCACCATACCTGGCTCCACGCACAGTACGGTTTAAAACTAAAACATAAAGTTGAACCATCTTTTAAAATGTTTTAAGTATTTTCTTCTGAGACAGGTATAAGGATTATGTCCTTATTATATCACCAGCCTGCGACGGTGTCTCCTTCCATATTCTCTCCCCTCTGCCCAGTCTCTCTCTCTCCCTCTCCCTGCTAATAAAGCTCTAGAAAGGTAACCATGGCTCATGATTCTTTGGCCACCGAAGCATCCAGCGCTCTCTTTCGTTGGCATGGCTGCCGCAGCGATGGCCAACCACAAGCACGGCTGCTTAACTAACAAGTTTTCTCTGTAGCCCTGGCTGTCCTGGAACTTGCTCTGTAGACCAGGCTGGCCGCAAACTCAGAGATCTGCCTGCTCCCACCTCCCAAGTGCTGGGATTAAAGGCGTGTGCCACCACCACCACCACCACCACCTCACCCCCTAGCAAAAAATATATTTTTAATTATGGATATGTGTCTATATGGGAGTAGCACATATAAGCACATTTGTCTGAGGAAACTTGATTGCCGGACCTTGGTAGTCAGCCTCAGGAGGAGTTAAGTGGCCAAATAAGGGACTAGACCTTGGTGGCTAGCTTTAGGAATGCAGTCTAACGATTTTTATTTTAATTTACTTTGGTTTTTTGAGACAGGGTCTCTCTGTGTAGTTTTGGTGCCTGTCCTGGATCTCGCTCTGTAGTCCAGGTTGGCCTCAAACTCAGAGATCCACCTGCCTCTGCCTCCCGAGTGCTGGGATCAAAGGCATGCGCCACCTTCACCCGGCTAATGGTTTCTAGAAAGGCAGAGGGAACGGGGCAGATGTACAAGGCCCGCCAGAGCCACATGCTCCAGTGGGCTAGGGTCCCTTCAGCGCTGGCTCTTTATGTAGACCAGATCGGTCTTGAACTCAGATCTGCCTCCCCAGGGCTGGGATCGAAGGAGTGCTCCACTACACAGGGCCTTCACTAGTTTAATGTCTCTGCACTAGCTGCCTCTCAATGTATTCTCTGTACTGCAGTTAAAGGAGTCCTTCATGTCACTACTTTAAACCAGAGAGTTCTACTTTAAAGAAACCAAGCTCTTTAAGTGGCCTCCAGGTCCTTCACGTACGGCTCTCACCGGTCCTTTCTCCTTACTCTAGCCACTTTTGGACACGGGGTTTGCCTATTTGACCTCTCTGGCAGCAAGGTTCCTTACTTCAGACCTCAGCTCAAATGTCTTCTGATAGATGGGGGATGCCTTCTGGGAACACCCAGTGTCATTCCATTTCCTCACGTCATCTCTATCCCTTTTCCCCCTTTTCTTTTTCTTTTTTGTTTTTTTGAGACAGGGTTTCGCTGTGCAGCCCAGCCCTGGCTGTCCTGGAACTCGCTGTGCAGCCCAGCCCTGGCTGTCCTGGGACTTGCTGTGCAGCCCAGCCCTGGCTGTCCTGGGACTTGCTTTGTAGACCCGAGGGCCACTTGCCTCTCCCTGTGCTGGGGTGGCGTAGCCACCACCTCCTGGCTTCCCTCCTGGCATGTATTTTTTTTTCCCCCCTGAGGGTGCTAGATACTGAATCCAGGGCTTCAGTCACGATCAGCAAGCACTTTCCTGCTTTTCTACGGCCTCCACCCCCGCAGCCCTCCTCCATTTTCTTTCCCAAGTTAGCGACTGTCTTAACATAAACATTTGTCATCTGACAAGCCTCCCTAGAGAACAAACTCCGAGCAAAGGAATGTGCTGGTTCCCCAAGTGTCCCGGCAGCCAGCACGATGCCTGGCTCTCCTCGGCCGTCTATGGCCCAAGTGACCAGGGAAGAAGCCCTTTTACTTTCCTGGTTTTCCAACAACACTCAGGAGACGAGGCGGCCTCCAGCCTGACGGCCTCCTGTCTCTGCATCTGCAGAAGTAAAGACTGGAGGTCTCAGGGGACGCAGCAGCTTCACAGTTCCGTGCAGGAAGTACGGCCAAGCAAGCAAAGTGATCTGGGGCTTGGGAGGCGCCCGCGGCCTAGCTTGCCTGCCTTCCCCGCTCTGGGTCTGCAGACCCCCGTCCCCGAAAGCCCGTTTCCGCAGCCGCAGGCCCCGGAGAGACGCCCGGTCTAGGGGTTTGGCTAAGGCCATGGGCGCCCCAACTCAGGACGAGCTCCGGGAAGGTGCGGCCTGTGTGCGAGCGCGTCCACTGTGCCCAGCAGCAACGGTGACAACAGCCTGTTCGGGAAACGCACGTTAGCGTGCACTGAGGGGAAACACCGGGGTGTCTATGAACCCCGCCGGGCCGCCGCCCCCCTAAAGCGAGCGGCACGACGCATCCAACATGGCTGCGGCGCCAGCGCGGCAAAAAGCAACGCAAGAAGATGGCGCCGGGCGGGTAGGGGTGGGGCGTAGCCAGCTTGGCGTACCCGGGGCGGCGGGAAGAGGGGCCAAGGCCACTCCAGAGGGGCCTCAAGACCCTCCGGGTTCTAGTACCTACAGACCCAACCCCGCTCCGCCGGACCCAAACAACATGGAGGGCGGCTATTGTGTCTGCACGAGGCCAGCCTCCCAGCGCCGCTTGAGCTCGGAATGCTGGGAAAAAAAAAAAAGGTCGATTCTCTAAACAGAATGCGCTACGAAGACGGCGCATCCTCGCCGCAGCGGGCCGGCCGACCACGCAAACCATGTTGCGTCGCCCCCGCGGAGGCTCGCCCCACCCCCAGCCCACGTCCTGGAGCTGGCGGCGCGAGGACGGTACGCCCGTTGCGTACACTGCCTTATTTAGGTGGACCGCCAAAGGGCGCCCCCCCCCCTGCGTCACTGACGTAAAGCTCTTCCTAGAATGTCTGTAGCACCGCGCCGAGCCCTCGGGCTCCTCCAGACGCTGTTTACGTAGCGTCTCGGCCGTGCGTAGCGTTAAGTTGGAGCCGTCTCAGCGGCCGCCGCCATTTTGTGCAGGCGCTGGGAAGGGAAGGAGACGCCTAGACCGTGGCACCGCCCGGTTTGAGCGTGACCAGACCTCCCCAGCTGTCCTAACAACCCCGATTCTCTGTGTTTTGCTCCCGTCTCCGACGAGAGAGGCGGCGACGGTGGCGTCTGCGACGGGAGACAGCGCGTCGGAGCGAGAGAGCGCCGCGCCTGCCGCCGCCCCAACAGCGGAGGCGCCGCCGCCATCGGTCGTCTCTAGACCGGAGCCGCAGGCCCTTCCTAGCTCGGTCATCCGTGCCCCGCTCCCAGATCTTTATCCGTTTGGGACCATGCGCGGAGGCGGCTTTGGGGACCGGGATCGGGACCGGGACCGTGGAGGGTAAGGGGAAGGAGCAGGCGGGAGGGGGGGGGGGCGGGGTAGCCCGCGGCTCGCGACGTACAATGGCGGCCGGGCGCCGGCCTCGGGCTCGGGCGGGCGCCTCTGCGGACCGCCGTGGTGGCTCGGAGGTGGCAGGCCAGCCTTGTCGCCTCCCTTGGCTCGCCTCGCTGACCATTTGGTCCCCGCAAGCCGCAGCGTCTGTCCGGGAGGAACCCCGGATGCTCAAGTCTAGGAAAAGCGATCTCGAGATGACGATTTCCTTTCCGTTAGGTCTCCAGCCATCCCTTCCGAGGGACTGGCGTCGAAAAGGCCTTTTCTGATTCTAAACCAGATTTTACTCCCCTTGCGGTCATATTCTTGCTAATTAGAAACCCGTTGGAATGAGAAGTGCTGGAGTTGCTTTTAAAAGATCGAAGTTGGGAGAACTAGAAGGGCAGGTGACGTTTTATGTTTATTGCCTTTTAAAGATCCAGTTACACTGCAGAATTAACTTTTAAGGCCTAAGCTAGGAAATTTTGTTTTTACATTTTTTTGAAAAATTAATTAACGCAGGAAGTTTCGTATTATGTTGCTAGAAAAATCCTTGAATGTGTGCCCTGAAATCCATACCAAAAAGCTTTATGCCAACATTGCTCCTGACGCCTAGATGCAGGAAACAGTTCACATCTAGATAAACTAGGGGTGCTTTTTATTTGGATACAATAAAGTCTTGGCTTTTTGTGGTGGTGCACAGGTAGATAGATCGCTGAGTTCAAGGCCAGCCAGGTCTACATTATGAATTCCAGGACAGCCAGGTTTACATAGTGAGACCCTACCTCGAAGTAGGGGGGAGAAGTCTTTAAAAGGAACAAAGCTATCGAAACCAAGAGAACCTCTTGAGGTGTCACATGCCAGTGGTCCAGCACTAGATGCTGAGGCAGGAGCTTGGTGAGCAAGGCCAGCCTGGGCTACTGTAGATCTTGTGTCAAAGCAAGGGAATGGTTTTCAAAGTACTAGATGGGGTTAGTTGTAGAAAAAAAAAAAAGAATTAAAATAGCCTTGTAAAGTAATCTTAATTTTAGAAGATGTATTTTTTTTTTCCTGGATCATTACTTTAAGATTCAAGCAATGTTAGCCGGGCCATGATGGCATGTGTCTTTAATCCCAGCACTCGGGAGGCAGAAGCAGGTGGCTCTCTGTGAGTTCAAGGCCAGCCTGGTCTACAGAGCAATTCCAGGACAGCCAAAGCTATACAAAGAAACTCTGTCTCCAAAAACAAAACAGGCAAAAAGAGTCAAAGTGATGGACTACAGCAAGACCAATGGAACTAAAACCGAGTTAGGCTAAGAATCTCTTCAAAATTGGGTTTGGGCCATTTTTGCAAGACTGAAAAGACCTGGCTTTATATTTCTTGAAGAGTGTTTCAGAATTTTGTTAGTTGACTGATTTGCAAGTGGGGTGGAGTGGCCACCTCAGAAGACATTGAGCTGAAAAGTCTGGGGCCTTTTAAAACTGAATGGGTGTACTTGGCTGTATATAGTTTTCTGTTGTGTTGGTTCAGCAGTGGTATTAATAAAATTACCCCAATTCTGCCTACTGAAGATAGATATCCAATAAATCCCAGTAAAATTTCTTGCCATAAATCTTGTCTGGGTGGCTTAGTCTGCCCCAGTTGACCTAGAATGCATCATATTTCAGTGTCCCACGCTCTGGGATAGCAAGTGTGACCACCACACCAGGCTCAACAGAAGGGGATTTGAGGCTGTAGGGTTTGTCCCACTTCTCCCCTAACTGGCCAGTCTTGAAATTCTTCAAAGTAGCTACTATTGAGTTGTCTCTGATTGTGTAGTCTTTTACAAGGAATAGGAAATGAGTTTTTAAAATACCCCATTTGAAGCCGGGCGGTGGTGACGTACGCCTTTAATCCCAGCACTCTGGAGGCAGAGGCAGCTGGATCTCTGTGAGTTCAAGGCCAGCCTGGGCTACAGAGTTAGTTCCAGGAAAGGCGCAAAGCTACACAGAGAAACCCTGTCTCGAAAAACCAAAATAAAAATAAAAATACCCCATTTGAGTAGCAAATAAAACTCTGTACTTTGACGTAGACTAAGGCAAATAAAGGTGATATTTGGATTGTTCCAGTAATAATTAGCTTCTAATTTCATACATTTTGAGTTTAGCAAATGGCCATATCTATTCTTGTTTGGCTTACCTGTTTGTTGTAAAAGACATATAAAAAACAAGACTTAATTTTAAATCTATCTGAAGGGAGTTTTGTTTTGATACGGGATCTCATAGTCTAGATTGACCTTGAACTCTTTTCTTGCCACCCACCACCTTTTCAAGTGCTAAGATTACACCTGTTCAGTACCATATATAGCTGTGAATATTATTAAACAAAAAAACCCTTAACCTACATACTGATGGTTTCTTCTTGTAATTCAGTATTATTTGAGCCTGGTATTACCATCAGGAGACTGAGGCAGGAGGATTGTTGTGAGTTTCTGGGGCCATGCGGCTACAAGGTAAATGAGGTTCTGCCTCAAAACAAGAATAATACTATTAGGGAAAGAAAAAGGAGATGTAAAGTAAAATATATAAAGATGAAGGCTAGAGAGGAAAGGATTACAACTTTTAAAAAAAAAATATTTATTATGTGTACAGTGTTCTGTCTGTATGTATACCTGCACACCAGAAGAGGGCATCAGATCTCATGATAGATGGTTGTGAGCCACCATGTGGTTGCTGGGAATAGAACTCAGGACCTCTGGAAGAGCAGTCAGTGCTCTTAACCTCTAAGCCATCCCTCCAGCACCTACAACTCTTTATTTTGGTTCTTTTGAATAGAACACTAGTTCCTGATGTCCCAGTAGTTTGCAGATTAGCTGAGAAGTACTTGCCCCAGCAAGTCGGGGGGAAGTTGGCCAAGAAGATGTTGTAGATTTGAGGGGCTTGCTTAAAGTATGTACGTTTTCCTCGAGTCCACAATCTTGCTCTTGCAGGTTAAAAGAGTATCTTCTTCGTTACAAGGGCAGGGACCTGTTTAGGTTTTAGTCCATGCAGAATCTCTGGTACCACTTAAACCACACTGGGTATGTAGTTGGTAGCCAGTAGTTTTGCCAGATGGATAGAGCTAGTGGTAATGCTCTTCTCTGCATAGAAAACTAGGGTACAGAGAAGTAAAGTGTGCTCCCAGATTACATAGTAAGTTTCAGAATTAGAATTCAAGCTGGGTGTTGGTGGCGCATGCCTTTAATCCAAGCACTGGGGAGGCAGAGCCAGGAAGATCTCTGAATTCAAGGCCAGCCTGGTCTACAAAGCAAGTTCTAGGATAGGCTCCAAAGCTACACAGAGAAACCCTGTCTCGAACCCCCCCCCAAAAAAAAAAAAGAATAATTAGAATTCAAGCTTTGTTTGTTCCAGAATCTCTTGAGATGATAAGATGAATGGTCTTTCTAAAGGACTTTCCGGAAGCCGTCATTTCCTATGCTTTCCTGTCACATGAGATGGATACTAATGCATCAACATTTTCTGGTGTCTCTAGGTTTGGAACAAGAGGTGGTAGTGGCCTTCCCCCGAAGAAGTTTGGTAATCCTGGGGAGCGTTTACGTAAAAAGAAGTGGGATTTGAGTGAACTCCCCAAGTTTGAGAAGAATTTTTATGTGGAACATCCAGAAGTAGCAAGATTGACTCCGGTAAGAGGGGGTGGGGGGTGAATGAGAGTGTTTAAATGGGTTAATCCGAGTGTTTTATATTTTATTTTATATTAGGTCATATCTTTTTAATGTGTTGTAGGGTATTTTGTTTTGGGTTTTGGGTAGTCGTCCGTCCATCGTCCCCCCCCCCCCCCCCCCAGGATTTCTCTGTGACAGCCCTAGCTGTGTGCCTATAAAAGCTAGAACTTGCTTTTATAGACCAGGCTAGCCTTAACTTCACGGATCTATCTGCCTCTGCCTCCCAAGTGCTGGGATTAAAGGCATTTTACCCACTATGCCTGGCCATGTGTTGTGCTGTTTCTTCGAGACAGGGTTTCTCTGTGTAGCCCTGGCTGTCCTGGAACTCACTCTGTAGACTAGACTGGCCCCGAGCTCAGAGATCCACCTGCCTCTGCCTCCCTAAACCATGGGATTAAAGGTGGTTGTCACCACCACCCAGTTTGTTTTATTTTTTATTTTCCTTTCCCTTTTTAGTTTTTCAAGACAGGGTTTCTCTGTGTAGCTTTGGAGCCTGTCCTGGAACTCGCTCTGAAATCAGGCTGGCCTCAATTTCAGAGATCCACCTGGCTCTGCCTCGAGAGTGCTGGGATTAAAGGTGTTCGCTACGCCACCACCGTCCGGCTGTTTTAATGTTTTTTGTTTTGGTTTGTTTGTTTTAAGATTTATTTATTTATTTAGGTATATGAATAATGTCTTCATGCAGGCCAGAAGAGAGCATCATATCACATTATAGATGGTTAGGAGTCCCATGTCGGTAACTGGGAATTGAACTCAGAACCTCTGGAAGAGCAGCCAGTGCTCTTAACCACTGAGCCATTTCTTTATCCCGTTTTAATGTTTTTTAAGTCTTTTTTAAGTTTTCGAGATAAGGTCTTGATTTGTAGCCGTAGCCAACCTGGAACCTGCTATGTAGCCAAACTGGCCTCAGACTCAAGAGATCCACCTGCATCTGAGTGCTGGGCTTAAAGAAGTACACCACCACGCCTGGCTTGCCTTTGTCATTTGTTTTGTTTAATTTTTATGTGATAAAACTATTCTGTTTGTGGCATGGTCTCATTATGTAATTCTGGGCTGGCCTTTAACCTGCTATCTGGCTACTTCACCTCTGGATGCCAGGGTTATAGGCATGGGCAGGCACATCTGATTTATGATATTCTCTCTTTGATCAAACCCTGAGTTTTGTCCAAGAAGGCAAGTTCTTCTCAACCATTGAGCTAATTTTCTTTTAGCAGTGCTGGGTTCAAACCTAGCACCATATGCATGGAAAGCTTAAACTCTACTATGGAGATACACCCTCATAAAATTAGTTTTTTTTTTTTTTTTTTTTTAAAGATTTATTTATTTATTTATTATGTATACAGTGTTCTGTCTGCATGTTTGTCTGCACACCAGAAGAGGGCACCACATCTCATTACAGAAGGTTGTGAGCCACCATGTGGTTGCTGGGAATTGAACTCAGGACCTCTGGAAGAGCATCCAGTGTTCTTAACCTCTGAGCCATCTCTCCAGCCCCATAAAATTAGTTTTTAAAATAAATTAACATTGTGTATTCGTGTGCTTTTAACCACTTGATAGTGTATTTTACTCAGAAATGATTGCTTGTCCAGAAAAACTCTGTCATGGAAAGAGCATTTGGGCCCAAGTTGTACCCATTCTCTTCCTCGTTGTAGCTTTAGGTAGAAGTTAACTGTTTGTAGTAGACTGTCTCACTCAGTAACCCTGACTACTCTGGAAGTGTTTTGTAAATAAGGTTAGCTTTGAACTTGGGCTGATCCTTCTACCTGCTCCATTGGGATTACAAAGCACCTTGCCTGGCTAGGACTTACTTTTGAGAGGTTGTTCAAAAGCCTGTGGAAACTGGAGCTCTTTAGTCAAGTGCATCAGAAACGTGACTTCATGTAAAAAGTGTTAGTATTTACCATTGTGGTAGTAAAACTGAAATTGAGAAGAACTTTTATTGTCTTCCTTTTCCACCCTGTAGTATGAAGTTGATGAGCTCCGTCGAAAGAAAGAGATTACTGTGAGAGGGGGGGATGTTTGTCCAAAACCTGTCTTTGCCTTCCATCATGCTAACTTTCCACGTAAGTGTTCTTTAGTCCTACATTCAGTGGTAGGTTGCTTAAAGGTTTGGAAAGGCTCAGAATTTTGTTAAAAAGACGAATATAAACCTTTCAGAAAGAAAAGATAGTAGCCAGGCAATAATGGCTCATGCCTTTAATCCTTAGCACCTGGCAGGCAGAAGCAGGCAGATCTCTGAGTTTGAGATTAGCCTGGTCTACAGAGTGAGTTCCAGGATAGCCAGGACTACACAGAGAAAGGAGGGGGATAGTAATTTAGTGTCAGATGGCTCAGTTGGTACCTAAGTTCAACTGTGGAACCCATATCAGTGTGAAAGGAGAAAACCCACTTCACTAGGCTCTCATCTGACCTCCACAAACTCACTCTGGTATATCATGCTTGCACACACAAAATAAGAAAGTTCAAAAAATTTATTTTCTTTTTCATGACATAGTCTCACTATGTACATCAGACTGGCCCTGTCTCCCAAGTGCTGGAATTAAAGGCGGGCACCACTTCCACCTGGCTTTAAATACTAATTTTATGTGAATTTCAATTTTTTTAGAAGCATGAAGGCTACTAGTATTAATAATACTATTTTTGTTTTGTTTTTTGAGACAGGGTTTCTCTGTGTAGCCCTGGCTGTCCTGAAACTAGCTCTATAGACCAAGCTGGCCTCCAACTCAGAGATCCACCTGCCTCTGCCTCCCCAGTGCTGAGATTAAAGGTGTGCGCCACCACCGCCTGGCTACTGTTTTTGTTTTTTTAAAGATTATTTGTGTGGGGTGAGATTCCTAGGAGGTCAAAAGAGGACATCAGATTTCCTAAAGTTGGAATTGCAGACATTTGTGATCCTGAGATGGGTATTGGAAACCAAACTTGAGCCCTCTATAAGAACAGCAAGCACTCTTAGCAGCTGAGCATTTTCTCAGCTTTGGTTTTTTTGGTTTTTCGAGACAGGATTTCCTGGCTGTCCTGGAACTCACTCTGTAGACCAGGCTGAACTCGAACTCAACAGAGATTCACCTGCCTCTGCCTCCCGAGTGCTGGGATTAAAGGTGTGCACCACCACCACCCAGCTTCTGCATTGTTTCTAATGCCAAAACTTCTGGTATTTTGCCCCTGTGTTTTACAAGGCAGCAGAATATTGCTTCTAGGATATAGTATAAACTTTGGGAGCAGTAAATGACTCATGGGCCTGTGCTGTTAGGTGTGTTAGGATAGTAGTTCTCAAAGGTGGTAGTGAAGTGGAGAGATTGGGTTTAAAGTTCTTGATAAATCTAAGTAAGTGTTGTCTTCAGTAACTGCTACTTCTTAAGACCTCATGTGTGCCTTTAGTTTGCCTAATAAAAGTAGTAATGCATTTCCTTTTCTTTCAGAGTATGTAATGGATGTGCTGATGGATCAGCATTTTACAGAACCAACTCCCATTCAGTGCCAGGGATTTCCTTTGGCTCTTAGTGGCCGCGATATGGTTGGCATTGCACAGACTGGCTCTGGAAAGACATTGGCGGTAGGTACCGAGTCTTTAACATTGTAATAACTTACTTTGTTATCTTAGTTGTCTTAGATTTCCCCCACCCCTGTCCTGAGACTGGGTTTCTCTGTGTATCTCTGTTGTTCTAGAACTTTGCTCTTTAGACCCGGGTGGCCTCCAACCAGAGAACCGCCTGCATCTGCTGCCTCCCAAGTACTGGGATTAAAGTTATGTGTCACCATGCCCAGCTGGCATTTTCTCAGTTCTTAAACTTAAATTAAAAAATACTATGTGCAAGCCTGGAATGGTGGGGCACACCTTTAATCCCAGCACTAGGGAGGCCAAGGCAGGCGGGTGGACCTCTGTGTTGGAGGCCAGTTTGGTCTATATAGTGAGTCATATAATGAGACACTGTCTCAAGGCTAAAAAATATGTGTGGTATTTCAGCTATGTGTTTTCATTGTACTTGAGTGTGGTAATGTGTTCTGTTTTTCCTCACTTTCTACTAGGGCTTTGTTTATTACTGATTTAAATTGGAACCCGTTAAGATAATGGCTTGGGTTTGTATAACATTGTTCATTCTCATTCCTCCTCAGTATTTGCTGCCTGCAATTGTTCATATAAACCACCAGCCATACTTGGAAAGAGGAGATGGCCCAATTGTAAGTGTTTGGTAATTTTTAAGAATAACTACTTCAAATGATAGTTTTAGGCACTGTGTGTAAAACCCAATTTAATTCTTTTTAAAAAATGTTTATGGGTATTTTGCCTGCATATGTGTCTGCATGTGTGTTGCCATGGAGGCCAGAAGAGGGTATTTAATCCCCTGGAACTGGAGTTACAGTTGTTACCTACAACGTGGTTGTTAGGAATTGAACCCAAGTCCTCTGGAAAGGGGGCTACTGCTCTTCATCATTCCAGTTCCTTCCCTAATTTAATTCTTAACCTTTTCCTCCATATGTAGAAGTGGTACTGGCCTGTCTTATTTGGAATTAAATGACTTAACCAAAGTTACACCAATATGAAATGACTGAATTTGAGGCATTCTTCCTCTTTTCTGTTTGTGGTTCTGGGTATTTAACTGGTGCCTTTGTGTGTGGTAGGCATATATCCCACCACTGAGCTTACCTCCCTGAACCTAGTCTTTGAACCAGTCTTTGCAACAAATTCAAGTACAAGTCTTTGTTTTAGGGTTTGTTTTTTTAGTACTGGGGGGCTGAATTTAGGGCCCGATGTATGCTAGGTAAGTATTCAACCCCTGGGCTATATCAACAGCTCTTAAACACAATTCTGAATTACTCATTTTTATTACTTTTGGTTATTTTTCTGTAGGGGATAAATTCAGGGGTCAACTTGTTAGGGTCAATTCTACCCACCATGTGGGTCTCAGGATTAGGTTGTCAAACTTGGGGGCAAGCCTTTTTATTTTTTACGTAGACTTGGCTGGCTTGGATCATCTTTCCTCAGCCTCCTGTGCTGGGATTAAAGATGTGCACCACCATCATCCCCCCCATACAAACATCTTACCTGACAGTGCTCCTAACTGCTGAGCCATGTCTCCAGCCTCCCCTACTTTTTAAATATTTTTTTTTGTTTGTTTTTTTGTTTTTTGAGACAGGGTTTCTCTGTGTAGCTTTGCGCCTTTTCCTGGATCTTGCTCTGTAGACCAGGCTGGCCTCGAACTCACAGAGATCCACCTGCCTCTGCCTCCCGAGTGCTGGGATTAAAGGCGTGCGCCACCACCGCCCAGCTATAATTTTTTTTTTTAAATTTATGTGCATTGGTGTTTTGCCTGCATGTATGTCTGTGAGTTAGGGTGTTGGATCCTCCAGAACTTGAATTACAGACAGTTGTGAGCTGTCATGTGGGTGCTGGGAATTGAACCAGGGTCCTATGGGAGAGCAGCCAGTGTTCTTAACCAGTGAGCCATCTCTCCAAGCTCAACTTTTAACTTTTATCTGTATTTGCTGCTGATATTTATGGTTTGTTGTTTGGATTCCACTCCCCCCCCCCCCCCCAAACAGGGTTTCTCTTTAACAGTTCTGGCTGTCCCCGAACTTGCTTTGTGGACCAGGCTGGCCTCAATCTCACTCACAGAGATCTGCCTGCCTCTGTCTCCTGAGTGCTGGGATTAAAGATGTGTGCTACCACCACCTGACACATGGTTATTTTGTTTTGCTTTTTTTGTGTGTGTGTGTGTCAGGGTTTCTCTGTGTAGCTTTGGAGCCTGTCGTGGAACTTGTTCTGTAGACCAGGCTGGCCTCGAACTCACAGAGATCTGGCTGCCTCTGCCTCCCAAGTGCTGGGATTAAAGGCGTGTGCCACCACCACCTGGCCAACGTGGATATTTTTTAAGCCAATTGTTCAACTTGTGAGGTTAAATGTTGGTCATACAAAACTGGGTGTGATAGTGCATGTCTCCAATCCTAGCACTAGTAGATAGAAACAGGATCAGAAAGAACTTTAAAGGTCATCTTCAGCTACATAGTTAAGGGCCGGAGAATCTATATAAGACCCTTTATTCATTCATTCATTCATTCATTCATTCATGTATTTATTTGAAGTACATAGTACAACCTTAGGGGGTCATTTATACTTCACCTAATCATAATGCATCAGATTAACCCAAGTGGAGAGGATGTTGGTATCATTTCCATTTCTAAATGGTAAGTTATATTTTCTCATAAGCCAATGTGCTCCATTGCTCAAATAACTTGAGATGTGCTAATTAGACAATAAGAGGAAATTTAGACTTCCTGTTGGTTCTTAGGGTTGTTTGGGTGTTTTTGTTAAACTTGGGGTGGCTTTCTCACGTTCCCTTGCTTCCCCTCCCCTGGTTTCAGTGTCTAGTGCTGGCCCCTACGAGAGAACTTGCTCAGCAGGTGCAGCAGGTGGCTGATGATTATGGAAAGTGTTCTAGGTTGAAGAGCACATGCATTTATGGAGGTGCTCCTAAAGGTCCTCAAATTCGAGACTTGGAAAGAGGTAAGAAAAACTTTTTCATGCTTGCTAATTTCTGTAAATGAAATTGAACAAAACGGGTTCTTGTGAGAAAATTCAGTATTTTTAATAGTGTAGAAATTTTTGGGATGCAGTTCTATTAGCTATTTTGTTGGGGGCAAGCTTGTGGCTAGAGCTTAACCTCCTCTTTGTGAAGTTCTCTTTACATCATGCTTTCCAGATACTATTTAAGTTTAGCAACTGCTGTAACATTGAATACAGCCACCAGGGCTGGTGCCTCCTGGTTTCTGTGTACTGAGGTCTGGATACTTTATATCCAAAGCTGCTTCATGGGCTAGATCTTTGATTTAATTTTGCTTTCCAGGCGTTGAGATCTGCATAGCCACTCCCGGGCGCCTGATAGATTTCCTGGAATCGGGAAAGACAAACCTTCGCCGATGCACTTACCTTGTGTTGGATGAGGCTGACAGAATGCTTGATATGGGCTTCGAGCCGCAGATCCGTAAAATTGTTGACCAAATCCGGGTTCGTAAAGCTGACACTTCTTTGTTCTATTCATACCTATTTGACTGTGTAGAGTTCCTTAATCTAAAGGAAACCTTCATTTCCTGATAGCCTGACCGGCAGACACTGATGTGGAGTGCAACTTGGCCAAAGGAAGTAAGGCAGCTTGCAGAGGACTTCCTGCGTGATTACACCCAGATCAATGTGGGCAATCTGGAGTTGAGTGCCAACCACAACATCTTGCAGATTGTGGATGTCTGTATGGAAAGTGAAAAAGATCACAAGTATGAAAGGAGACTTCGTTATCCTGTTTTGATAAAATATTAAGTTTGGTTTATTTCTGAGGCAGGGCTGTACTAGATATCCTAAGGTTGCCCTCAAACTCCTGATCCCTCCTTCCTTAGCCTTCACAATGCTGAATTACAAGGTATACTATAACATAGCTGAAAAGGCCAGGATGTTTTTGAGGTTGAAACATTCTTTGGGTGTCATTCATTGGAGCATTGAAGTTAAATGCAATGGTCTTGGGTTGTTGGGTTTGGATCCAGGCTCTTGTTTAATGGCAGCTGTATAATTTTAAGGCAGGTTTAAGATTTGCTTCTCATGGTTCCATTTGTCATTTTTCAGATAGGTAGAATGTCAGTGCATCAGACCTGCTGGAAGCTAGAGGGAATTGGTGGGAATTGAGTTTTATTCATGGATCCTTGGCAGGCGTGGAGCTTGAGGTGTAGAGAAGATGACTTAGTTCCTGCCTCCCGCGTGTGCTAGATTTAAGGCATATGCCTCCACACTTCGTTTAGGTGTTGCTGGGGATTGAATCCAGGGCATCATGCATGCAGGGAAATAGTATAACAGCCAGAGTTAGTTTGTGTTCATGCACTGTGCTCATAAAGACAAGAAAATAGTCCAGATCCCCTGGTGCTGGAATTATAAGTGGTTGTGAGTCACTCATAGTGGATGCCCAGAGCTAGATTCAGTCCCTTCCATAAGAGCAAAGACTTAATCTTCAGCCCCTGAATTATTATTTCTTAAAAATACAGATGTATGTGCTTATTAAAGTATTTCTCAACAGGCTGGGTGTGATGGCAGGTGCTTTTAATCCCAGCACTCAGGAGGCAGTTTGAGACCAGCCTGGTCTACAGAGTGAGTTTCAGGACAGAGCTATACAGAGGAACTATGTCTCCTGCAAAACAAAAACCAAAAAAGTTAGGTTTTTTTTTTTTTTTTTTTTTTTCCTTTTTGGAAGAAAATATTCTTGTGTAGTTGAGGTTGACCCTTGAGTTCTTCATCCTGCTTCAGCCTCCTGAGGGATACTGGGATTGTAGGCATGTGCCACCACACTCTTAAGCTCTGGGAGTTAATAGCATCTGTGTGGTTGATGGAAGAACTTTACTGTGTGAGACTGCGTTGTTGGTCTTCTTTTCAGATTGATCCAACTGATGGAGGAAATCATGGCGGAAAAGGAAAATAAGACTATAATATTTGTGGAGACAAAGAGACGCTGTGATGACCTCACTCGAAGGATGCGCAGAGATGGGTGAGTGCAGCACCTTGATAGCTTTATACCAGCAGATCTCAACCTGTAGGGCATGACAGGGTTGGAGGGGCCGGGTAACCCTTTCACAGTGGTCAGACATCAGATATCCTGCATAGCAGATATGTTTGAAATTTATTATGTATATAGTGTTCTCCCTACGTGTATGCTGCAGGCCCGAAGAGGGCCCCAGATCTCATTACGGATGGTTGTGAGCCTCCATGTGGTTGCTGGGAACCAAACTCGGGACCCCTGGAAAGAACAGTCAGTGCTTTTAACCGCTCCGCCATCTCTCCAGCCCCGCATATCAGATATTTACATTATAATTCATAACGGTACCAAAATTACAGTTAATGAAGTAGCAACAAAATAATTTTATCGATGGGGGTCACCACAGGAACTGTATTAAAGGGTCGCTGCATTAGGAAGGTTGAGAACCACTACTGTGCTAAGGCTGGTACATGTGTGTATGCTATTTTAGCCTGATGTATAATTGTGTGAAACGAGAGCAGTCTTTTATTATGTAGCTTAAAGAACTTGATCAAAATTATGTACTAATACTTTTGTAAACATTTCTAATATATAATATTCTTCTGATAGTTGGCCAGCTATGTGTATCCATGGAGACAAGAGTCAACCAGAAAGAGATTGGGTACTTAATGGTAAGAATAAGACTAAGCATTTTCTTTTGAGATAGGATCTCACTATGTAGATCAGGCTGGCCTTGAACTCAGAAATCCACCTGCCTCTGCCTCCTAGGTGTTGCTGGGCCTAGCACAATACAGTTTTTTTGATACCTATCCTGCCTCTCCCCCTTCCCCATTTATAATGAACCAGATAATAGATTATTGGGGCTTTGTACACCAAACAGTGGGTTCAGTGATTTCTACACAAAAACGAGTGGTCGTAGACAGGACTGCAAACATGGCCTGATTGTATTCCCAGAAAGGTTTGTTTGCAGAAAGAAGTGTTGTACTCAATTTCATTTGGAGATGAAAGTTAACCGAACCCTGGGCATTTTGAGTACATCTCCAGAGTTCTTTAAAGTTTGTAATAATATAAATAAAAATAAAACTTTTCAAATGAAAAGGACTGGAGAGATGGCCCAGCCTGAAGAGCACACACTGCTCTTGGCGGACGGATCCTGCCACCTGTGTTGAGTGGCTCAAAACCACCTGTAATTTCCCTACAAAGGGATTCGATTGCCTCTGGCCTCTGAGCACCTACACTCAACATACACAGACACACAGTTTGAACATACTTAAAACACTTTTCTTTTTCTTAATTAAAATGAGTGTGCTGTGAGCTGTAGATAGGTATACAAAGCCAACGTTATGAAAGGCACGTATCTTGGGTGGGTGAGGGGAATGCTTTTTCTTCAGGTCATGTCTTCTGTGGATGTTCTTTATGGCCTCAGGTTCCTAACTTGGCACCTTTTCTCTTTCTAATTCTGCAGAGTTTCGATCTGGAAAGGCTCCTATCCTCATTGCCACAGACGTAGCCTCCCGTGGGCTAGGTTTGTATAGATAGGTGTCTCTGTTGATAGTTTGTGTATCTTTTGGTTTTAAAATGTTTTTGTCATGTCAAATTTAGAGTTGTATGTATATGAGTTTAGTCAAAAGAGAATATAAGTGTGATTTCCCCCTTGGAATTTTTTTTTTTAGCCTTTGTGGGTTTTTAATTTTTTATTTTGGGTTTTCTGCCATCATCCAACCCAACTCCCTGTTATTTTCAAAGTCTCGTTGGCTCCTGACAAACAGGCTTTGTTCTGCAGTAAGGCCTAGGCATGACTGTTCAAGTTATAGGGAGAGGAGACATTCCTTTACAGCTTCATTTCTTTTTGGTTTTGTTCAGTTTTCTGGCTGGATAGAAGGAGCCTAATTAAACCTAGCTTAGCAAAAGCTGGTTTCTTTAGTTTTTCCCTTATGCCAGTCTGTCTATTATAGATGCAAACGTGGAGGCCACTTCCCATGAATATTTACTAAAAAGGGTTTGATTACTCTGTACTGTAATGTCATTCTATTGAATATGCATTGCCTGGTGTTACTTGAGTAAAATGATGGGCAGTTCTTGCCTCTTACCCATCATTTGGCCATTGATGTGTTGTCTGTTTAAGAACTTAATCTGAAGATGTTCTTTGGGAGTTTGAACCCACGATTTAAGATACATACAAATAGCCTGTGATACTTTGGCTTATTGTTTTGAACTGAACAAGTCTGACCCAAAATGTTTACATTCATAAAGATTTTTTTCAGCTGGGTATAGTAATGCATGCCTTTGATCCCAGTGTTTGGGAGACAGAGGCAAGTGGTTTCTTTAGTTGGAGGCCAGCCTGGTGTGCATAGTGAGCTATAGAGCAGCTAGGGCTACATTGGGAGACACTGTCTCCACAAAAAGATTCTCACAGCTGGGCATGGTAGTATATGCCTGTAAATTCCAGCACTTGGAAGCCTTAGGCAGGAGAATCAATAGTTTGAGGCCAACCTAGGTTATATAGCAAGATCTTGTTTTCGAGAAGTGGGGGTCATGTCTATCGTGAGGAATCCATTATTGGTGTGTTTAATTCCTGTTGAGGAAGGTGAGAAGTACCAAGTTTCCCTGTGCAATTGAACATAGAATGCATAACAAGTATTGACTGCAGCAGTGATGGAGCTTTTTTATCCCTTCAACTCCTTCAGAGGTAGTGAGTGACCTGCAGCCGTGGGGGGGGGTTTCGCTTCCCTCTGAGGTCATGTCTGGGTCGGTGCCGTTAGAACTTGGGCCTGTTGGGAAAGGAGGCAGAAGCCTGAAAGCAGTTTATAGAAGCGCTTTCAGTGATGGTGGTTTTTTAAACAGGCTTGCTATGTGCTGGTAGCTTCTTTGTGCATCTTGCCTAGACAATTAAAATCTTTGTTCTATGTCCCCTTGCATATTTTAACAAAATCAATTGGCTGCCATTAGAATAACTTAGACTCTTCATCCCACCCTCCCTCATTCCGGTGAGGGGAGAGGGAAGGTACCTGAGTCTGTTTCTTGTTACTCAACATCAGTGCTTATTTTGGGCCCCTTTGTTTGCTGCCTTGTAAAAATCAAAAGGAGGGAGAAAACCCACCACAATGGCAGAATTCTGACCATGGTCCTACAAGATCCTGGAAAGTGAAGGCTTCTACCTCATAGACAGGGGTGCGATTTTCAGCTGAGTCACCAGGCCTTTTTTCACTTCTGTGGAGCGATGGTCTCTTAAATGATCCCTTCAGGTAAGTTCTTGGCCTCCCATAGTTTCATGATAGTCATCTGCAGGCGACCACTGTTCCCTTTCCACTGGGATATTTTTTATTTCGCTTTTTTTTCTTTTTCTTTTTTGTTTTAAACTACAGACTGTTGAACTAAAAGTATTGAATTGATTTTGTTTTGTTTTTTAGCAGAAGCTTTGATATCAGCTGCAGATCACTCAGTGCATGGCTGAGGCAGTCTCCATTGGCCCGAAGCCGCTCTAGATGAGCCTGCTGGCTAGTCTTAGATTCTCCCTCCCAGTTAGTGATTGGCGTTTCAGGCCACGGCCGAGGCTCTCCTAGCCATTGGCCGAAACATGGCACTTTGCATTTCTTACCCTGCTACAGCATCTTCTATAGACAGCAAGATAATATTGTGGCGGTGCACCAGTAGCCTCAGGGCAGCCTGGCCTGGGGAAAACAAACCAGACTCTGTGCTTGCTCTCAGGTGGCCTCAGTGAGCTTTGTGTACCCAGGACACCTTTCTAGTATGAAGACCTTGCACCGTGTCCACCCTTTATCGAGCCTCTCCAGAAGTACTCCCAGCTTTAGCATCTGGAGCCTGCCCAGTGCTTGCTGCTTGGAAAGCACACTCCTGTGCATCCAGCGCAGTCATTCAGCATGGTCTGTTGCCCATGGTCACTCAGTGGGAGTGACGGGGGCCATTATCCAAGCTCTGAAGATGTGCTTACGGAGTTAACCCCCACCCCAGCCCACCCCCACTCTTCCATCCTTGCCCTATAATATTTTTTCTTTGTGGCATCAACGACCCAAGCCGGAGACTCAAGCTGCCCCCTGTGATAAGTGCCTTCTCGTCTTTCTGGTGTGATTCAGGACTTTAGGGGTCAGTAAAGACTGAGGAGCCTTTATTGTAATAAGAAACAGACATAATGCCCCTACTTCACATGCCCCTAACAACAGCTGAATTTTTGTTTTTTAATCATCTCCCCTTTCCCCTGAAATTAATCCAGTCTGGGCAATAGATGCGTCTGACCCTTTGGATGTAACTTTTTTTTTTAATTTTTCTACAATCACCCCAATTACCTTGGGGAGGCGTTGGAGGACCTGAAATTTTTACCTGAACCCAGGTTCTCCGGCGCTTGGCAACCAAATGGGGCTACAGAGAAGCATCTAAGCCAGTTCACAGAGCGAGCGTGTGTGGGGACTTCTCACTGCCACGGACCCTTGATGCATGCTCCCCGCGCTCCAGTGGTCCCGTGTCAGAAGGCGGAGTTTTCGAAAGGAGGCCGCCAAATATAAAAGACAAAGAGACGGGATCGGCTGCAGCGGTTTCCCAAAGGAGGAGGGAGTGTGCATCGGTCTGGTAACAAACAGAGAATGTTTTTTAATTATTTCTATCACAGAAATCTGTGTTTTATCTAGGATATTTTCGGAATATTCTTTGTAAAATGCAGATTTTTTTCCACAAAAAATTAGGATTCTGTTATTAAATTTGTTTGTTAAGTAGGTTAAAAAACTACATTTAGCTGAAAGCATTACACTAACATTTACATAATTTTAAGTTTTAGGGGGTTACCCAGCCCATTTCCTAGCCGTGTACAGAATATTGAATGTGTGTCTCAAGGTTTCATGGTTTTCCCCACATTCTTTGGCTATTGAATCTCCAGGTCACGTAGACAATCTGATCATTGATGATACAAGTACTAAGTTTGCAATAACCTTGAGTTGAGTGGAAAAAAACCTCACTTGAGAAGCTGGGCTTGGTAGTACAGTGAAATTTTAGTGTAATGTGTTCTTGTGACTGCAAAGGGAAAGATAATGTGGGTGTTCAAGCAAAGCAAAAGAGGTGTGTACTTTGGCTTTGGTTTGCTTTTTAACTACACGAGCGAAAAAATCCTAACTGTATATATAGTCTGAGAATGTAGTGAGTAGCTGGAGTGCCTTTCCAGGTTGCTCTGTGACTGGTCTGAAGGTAAGTTGGTTGTTGTTGGTAGTCTGTGCCAGGCTTCTCCCAACAGAGTAGAAGTGATTTGGCCCTGCACTTTACTGGTGGTTACTGATTCCTTCTCCATCCCAGTTTTGAAAGGGGTGGGTGGCACTAGAGTGTGTCCGTCTGAACTCTGGTCTAGTGTAGCTCCTGTTGTTATACAGTCACAGAAGAGGCAGGAGTTTGGGGATTAAATGGGACTCCCTGGGATTATAGCAAATCCAGGCGCAGTGCCCGGTTATGTCCTGAGAGTCACTGATCCTCTTTTACTCTGTTGGGATGAGTCTCTTTTGTACCTGCTCAGAGTGGTTACTAACTTGGTCTTCTCTCCTCTTGCTGTCATCTGCATTCGTGCTCCCCACCTCTTGGCATTGTCCTTGACCTTCTCTTTCTCTGCCACATCAACTTACAACGGCTCACCATTGACTTGGAAGATGTGGAAGATGTCAAGTTTGTGATCAACTACGACTATCCAAACAGCTCAGAGGATTATGTTCACCGTATTGGCCGAACGGCCCGGAGCACCAACAAGGGCACTGCCTATACCTTCTTTACCCCGGGGAACCTAAAGCAGGCTAGAGAGCTGATCAAAGTGTTGGAAGAGGCCAATCAGGCTATCAATCCGAAATTGATGCAGCTGGTGGACCACAGAGGCGGTGGCGGCGGAGGGGGTAAGGGTAAGTCCTGGAATTTTCCAGGTACTACCAAGGACCCCTAATACTAATTGTGCCTGGTTTTTTGTTGGTTTTTTTTTTTTTTTTTTTTTTTTTTTTTTTCCATTTTGATCTGTGAAGGCTCTTGCTTGGAAGTCAGAGAATACTTAGTGGTTTTTTTGTGTGACATTGTCAGTCAGGAAGCACATTTTGTCATTATGCTGCTATTACTATTGTAGCCTGGTATGTGAGAATCTAAGACCCATTATTTAAATTTTGGGTCACATGCATATTCAAAATTAAACTAGTAGTACATTCCTGTAAATTTTTGGGGAGTGGGGGGTAACTCAAGAGGTTACTTTGTAACAGCCCTGGCTGTCCTATAACTTTCTCTGTAGATCAGGCTGACCTCAAACTCACGGAGCTACTTCTGCCTCTGCCCCTTTTCCCCCCAACTGCTAGGATCAAGTGTTTGTCACTATATCCAGCTGCCTAGAATTCTTGACACCTGGAGGTAAGGCCGGCTGTGACTCTTTTAGGGACAGATTGAGCTTCCTAGAACCTCTTAACAAATACATGTAAAGCTAAACTCTTGTTGCTTCTTGATACCTTTAAACTTCTTAATTTTATTAGGGTTTCAATTTTGCATGTGGAGAATTTGGTAATTTTTCATTTCATAACATAGTAAGCTGAGGCATATAGCTGGTGTACAGTTGTGAGGTACACTCAGCTCTGTTCTCCTGGCCAGATTGTTTTTGTGGTCTGGCAGTGGTGGTGCCCATCTTTAATCCCACCACTCAAGTGGAAGAGGCAGGCAGATCTCAAGTTCAAGGCCAGCCTGGTCTACATTGTGAGTTTCAGGACAGCCAGGGCTACACAGAAACCCTTTCTCATAAAGCCTGTTCCTGGTGGCACACGCCTTTAATCCCAGCACTTAGAAGGCAGAGGCAGGCGGATCTTTTGAGTTCGAGGACAGCCGGGGTTACACAGAGAAACCCTGTCTTGGAAAAACAAAAAAAAGATTGTTTCTGTTAACTCAAGAAGAGTCTAAAAGGCACCAAGTTGAGTGAAACATTAACTTAGAGACTAGACTTGTTGAATAGTTCTGTTCCCCTTTATGTTCAGTTTGTTTGGATCACATACTAGCATTAAAGATCCCTCTATCTTCCCACCAGGAGGTCGCTCTCGATACCGGACTACTTCTTCAGCCAACAACCCCAATCTGATGTATCAGGATGAGTGTGACCGGAGGCTTCGGGGGGTGAAGGACGGTGGCCGGAGAGATTCTACAAGCTACCGGGATCGCAGTGAGACCGATCGGGCCAGTTATGCTAACGGCAGTGGCTATGGAAGCCCGAATTCCGCCTTTGGGGCCCAAGCAGGCCAATACACCTATGCTCAAGGCACCTATGGGGCAGCAGCTGCTTACGGCACCAGTGGCTACACAGCCCAGGAGTATGCTGCTGGCACCTACGGGGCTAGTGGCACCACCTCAAGCGGGAGGAGCTCCCAGAGCTCCAGCCAGCAGTTCAGTGGTATAGGCCGCTCTGGGCAGCAGCCACAGCCACTGATGTCCCAGCAGTTTGCACAGCCTCCAGGAGCCACCAATATGATAGGCTACATGGGGCAGACTGCTTATCAGTACCCTCCTCCCCCTCCCCCCCCCCCCCCCCCCTCCTCCTTCTCGTAAATGAAGCTGCTTGGTGGAGTGACTCGTGCAGATTAATTCCATCTAAAGGAATACTGTCTATTCTTTTACCCTTCTAGCCCTTTGCATTTTTATTTTTTCTTTTTCCAACCATTGTGGTTTATCTTTTTTTAATGCAGATTAGTTAAAATTCACTGCCAGGTTTCTTCTGCCCACCCAAAAGATCCAGTCTGTAATAACAGATTTTGTAAGGGAAAAAATACATATATATATATATATATAACTATATATATATAAAACTGACTGGGAAAGATTAATTTCTTGCCCCGAATTAATGCATGTTGAGGATATTGAGCTATTTTTCATCTTAAAGGTATTAGGCATTTTTGTCGGAGCCTGTTTATTGGGAAGGAGGGTAGGGAAGGATGGATGGTCCCGCAGAAGATGGTGGCATCTGCTTCAGACTGTTCTCCTTCCTGGGAGAAGCCAAGAGGGACTTCCATGCGCATTGTCTGTCCATGGTGGGTTTTAAGTTACTGAAGTTAGATTACTCAGGCCTGCTGAAATTTAAGACAACCAGTCATTTTGGCTGATGGCTTATGACGTGCATTTGACAGTTAAAAAATTCCTAATTGGTTTTGACTTCTCCTGCAGTTATTAAAATATTAACCAGGTTAGTGTTGAGTTAGAAATTACATTTCTGAGTTCAAGCAATCTTTTTTAAGTTTAAAAAGTACAAGACATTGTTTTTGCTGGGTAGACTGGCATCTGGGTAGAGGCTGCCTGGTTTTTTTCCCCCCCATATAACAGGGAACATTTGAAAGTCAGTTTTCTAGCCAGATAGCCATCATGAGCCGTAAGCATCAGTGCTTAGCAGAAACTTCCTGAGCAGCTGAGTCTACGATGTAGAGAACACCTTTAGAAATGATGGAATCCAAATGGGCAGATCTTCCTCTTAAACTCGGTATTTTTAAAAGTAAGAATGACTCACGGGCTGCTCTACCCTCAGCCAGGCTCTCCTGAGCAGGACTGCTGAAGAGTTAGTCTCCACAGCCTGTTCTGTGGTACTCTTAGCAGATGGAGGCACTCATCCTCGGCGTCCCTTTGCACTCAGCTTTTCCAAGGTAGGTAGTGCTTTAGGAGGCACTCTGGAGGACTAGAGCCCACTCCACCTTACTCTCCAGTGCGAAGGTGGGTGCGTTTGTCTCCTCGTCCATTTGTTCAATGTTTTCTTACTGAAACTTCCAAGAGCAACAGATGCATCTGAAAGAATATTCTGCTCTTGTGTCACCTAAGAGGATAGGACAGTAGATGGCCCCAGTGCCTATAGTAGATCACAGTGGTGGGTGGGCGCTTTGTTTACTGTTACCTGTGCTGTTCATTCCCAGTACAGTTAAAGGGAGGAGGCCCCGGCCGGGCGGTGGTGGCGCACGCCTTTAATCCCAGCACTTGGGAGGCAGAGCCAGGCGGATCTCTGTGAGTTCGAGGCCAGCCTGGTCTACAGAGCGAGATCCAGGAAAGGCGCAAAGCTACACAGAGAAACCCTGTCTCGAAAAACCAAAAAAAAAAAAAAAAAAAAAAAAAAAAGGGAGGAGGCCCCACTGCATTCCTTGGCTGTACCCTCAAGAGTGCCCTGCTGCTTTCTAACAGTCTTAACGATACCCTTGAGGTTTCCTTCAGGAAGAGAAAAGGGGTGGTTTTGAGGGCTCTGAAAGTAGGATTCAGTGTGCGACATAACAGGTAGGTTGTCAGCATATGTTGGCTATACGCATGTGAACGCTTGGCATCCTTTTGTTTTCCTTCCTATCTCACAGAATGTTAAGCTAAGGGAGAATGGTGGGCACAGATGTGTGGCAACCCTCCTCTGTGCTTTGGAACCAAAGTGTGTGTCTGTCTCTCACCCTGCTAAAAGGAAGCAGTGTCTAACCAAGGACACTGACCAGCCGTTACAGAGAACTCTTTCTACAACCAAATTCAGATTTATTTATTAAGCATTATACCATGGGCTATCCTGTGGTACTGTGGCTCTTCAAAACGCCTCTTCTGTTAACGCCTCTGGGGATGAAGCAGTAGCACCTCTCCTCCCCACCAGAAGCATACTCCAGGTGAAATTAACACCTGGTTTCATATTTCATGAGCTCTTTTGGCCTGGGTACAGCAGAAAACTAGCAGTTTTCCTATTTAGTGCAAATGACTTCTGCCTCCTTGTCTGTCCTTTGGAGTTCTCAGGACAGGCGTAGGCAAACCCTTGAGCTGGGTTTATTGCCCTGGTGGTTAACTCACGTAGGGAAAGGGCTTCAGTATTAAGCTGTGGGCTGCTCCCCTACCCCTCCCAAACAATTCATTGTGCAGACTTCTCATCTAAAAGGTTGGTGGCTTTTGCTTGGGATCAGTGCTCTGCTAATGCCTTTTGCTGATCTCTCCACACATTCCTGTCATGGAGACTTGAATTGTAGGTGTGATGTTACGGCACAGGATGCTAAGAGCTGTTACTACTATTCTTAGTGTGTAAATTGTCCTTTTGATACCATCTTGTTTTCTTTTGTAGGTATAAATAAAAACAATTGACAATAAAGGTGTGAATTTTTATTACATTCAAACCTTACTAAGAGTTGAGGGTAATCTTAACATTTTGCTCCAAACAACAAATATTGGGAGTTGAATGACTAATTATCCTAGTTAGCACCTCAAACTGGGAGGGGAAAGTGGGGTTGGTGATGGGTCTTGGCACAGGAATGAGTCACACAGTGAGATGACATTGGTGTCCACCTAGGCTGGCAACTGGGATGAGTCTAAGATGCAGTGTGGAAGTGGGTTGTGTGATGACACACATCCAGGGTCTTCAAGTTCCGTGGCATGAGCCCTCCACTGTAGTCAAAGGAGCAAGGACATTCAAGGAGGAAGTATCTTGGAGCTCCTTATTTTCACTTGCCCATTGTAAGGGCTCACACTTGGGCAGTTGGACCAGGTATTGATGGTATATAAGTAGTCCTGCTGTTGATGGTAAGAGGAAGGTCTGCCAGTGCTTTGCTCAAATTCACACCAGCCATTTAAGTCACCAAGGAGAACAATCCAAATGATTTGCTCTGGGTGCCTTACAGTGTGGCCCATCTCTTCAAACTGGCATTGGTAGGCTTAGCTTCTTTCCTTTGAGGACTAGAACAAAGGGAAGGTGAAGTTACAGAATATACTAAGAATTGTTATCAACCCCCCCCCCCTCCTGTTTGAGAGTTTGACTGACCTGACTCCCTAGTGCTAAGATTAAAGGCACAATCCACAACTGTTGTCCCTTCAAAGTTGTCATCTGACAAGAGGAGGTTGCTGGAAGTTTTATTTCAGGTTAACCATGGCCTCCATGTCCCTCTGCCCCAGTTTTGGTTACTGGTGCTCCTTCCCTACATAGTTGTCGACTTAGTTGGCGTCAGTTCATCTCTGGTCCATTCCCATAGACTATCTTGATCTCTTCACACTGTGCTTAGCTGCCCTGACTACTCTGCCTGCATGGCAACTAACGGGTTGGCTGAAGTGAGTTCTTGGTGATGTACTAACAAACCCGTGAGACCTCGTGCGAACTTAGTTGGTTTGCATTTCAAGGTTTACGACTTTCTAAAGCCCGTTTTGGATCCTAGATGATTTTCTCAACCAGGTCTGTCAAAAGTCCTCTTCCAGTTCTCTTGTCTGTACACAAGTAGGATTCCCATTGGTTTGTGCCTCCCCCATCCAAATAAGCTCCAGAAGGGATGAGCCTTGACCCTGCCTCAGACCAGCTGGAGTACCACAGAGTATGTAATGACTTAGGACAGTGCCTACCTTTGGTCACATACAAGTAGAAGAAGTCACAGTAAAAGATGGTTTGTACTACTCCAGACACCACTGAGATCTGATCATAAAAATTCTCTGTCTGGTACCGCCAGATCCAGTTGGCTAGATAGAGTGCCCGATACAGCCCCAGGAAGAACAGGTAGTGAGTGGTGATGGTCTCAGCCTCTCCAGTCTTGCTGATCATGAAGAGCTGTGGCAGGATGGCCACCGACTCCAAATAGATGGAGAAAGTCCAGAGGACCTGTCAGAAGAGCAGAGAAGGCTGGGAGGGTCCATTGCTTGGGAGGACCCGTGTGTAGTGAACATTGAGAGAACAGTTGTTGGGCTCCTAGTGTAACAGTAACCCAAGGAAGGGCTGGGGTGACACACCCCTTTAAGAACTTGTTTGTGGCTTTCTGGTGTTGGGGACAGAAGCCAAGGGTCAGATGCGTGCTGGACAAGCACTCTTTCCCCATAGTGTCCCCAGCCCTGAACTTGAGTAGCTGTGCTTTTCCATCGCTGTCTATGGAAATACAAACTCAGGGATGGAATGAATGCCTGCTTGTTTTTAACAGTGCAAACATGTCCACAGCACAGTTTATAAACGACATAGTTTAAGCCACAGCATGTCAGGGGCCATGAGTGCCAGCAGAGGACCTCCAGACACTTTTTTTTTTTTTTTTTTTGGTTTTTCGAGACAGGGTTTCTCTGTGTAGCTTTGCGCCTTTCCTGGAACTCGCTTTGGAGACCAGGCTGGCCTCGAACTCACAGAGATCCGCCTGGCTCTGCCTCCCGAGTGCTGGGATTAAAGGCGTGCGCCACCACCGCCCGGCAACCTCCAGACACTCTTGAAGCTCAACCCTGATGAGTTAATAGTGGCCTGGACTGCTCTTGGGGACACAGGGTCCTAACAAGCAGGGTCACCACCTGCTTAACTGGAAAACAAGCAGGGTCACCACCTGCTTAACTGGAACCTCATGACTGAACAGATGTGCCCCTTACCGCTGTGAATGGTAAGAAATGGGCTTGCAGTAGGCAGGCTGAAGAGGGTGCTGGGAGGCACCCCTGCCTTGGGATCAGACTCACCTCCGTTGGTGCGTAACTGTAGTTGACCAGAAAGGAAAGGCCAATCACCGGGACCAGGAGGAACTCCAGCCGGAATGTGTCATTCTCGCTGTCAAACGTTTTCCGGAATTTCCAATAGATCATGTACACAGTGGCATAGGCGCAGAGAAGGAAGACCACCTAGGGAGGCGTGGGCGGCATGAAGTCTTGTTGGTTGGGTGGTTTTTTCAAGACAGGGTTTCTCTGTGTAGCTTTGGAGCCTGTCCTGGAACTTACTCTGTAGCCCAGGCTGACCTCGAACTCACAGAGATCCGCCTGCCTCTACCTCCTGAGTGCTGGGATTAAAAGTGTGTGCCACCACCGCCCAGCTTGAAATCGTTTCTTAATGCTCATGTTAAGCTGTGATATCTGTAACCCTGAGGAGCAACATGTTATTGTCCCCCAACATGTGTGCGCACGCATGTGATATGTTCCTGGGGCCCCTAGTCTTGTGGGCTGGAGGTCACTGGCTTCTCTAGTGTATCCTCAGGATCTTCTCTTTTGCAGGTCTGGACAGCCTTGGAATTTGCATTTCTAACAACTTCCCAGGTGGCACTAATGCTGCTTAGCTGGCACTAGACTACACTGGCATAGGGAACTCAATCACTTAAACGTCACTAGAATGACATGCTGTCACAATCTGTAGTGTGGGGGTCACATGCCCTGGGAAGACATATGAGTCTGTCTCCCCTACAAGAGGACACATGGGCAGGACCCTCCTCTGAATCCCCCAGCTCCTTACTCAGCACAGATTAGCGAGGGAGGGAATGCAGGAAGTGACGACCACCTTTCCATTCCATTCCAGACTAGACACCTCATCCTGCTACACAAGGCTGGGTCTGCAGAGGAATGAACTAAGCGGGTGAGGAGTCTAAGTAGGGGGGTGATGTTAAGACCCCAGATTCACACCATTCAAATGCTTCACAGGTGACAACATCTCCAGCCCCCACCCCTCCCCTGCTAGGAATGAGCTACTTGACTCGCAAAGAATCTCTCTGAGACAGAGAATTAATTCCCTTTGGTGCACCATATCATCTCTTGGAATCTTCACAGTTACCCTGTAAGATACAGATAAGACACTCCCATTCCACACATGAGCAGGTAGAACTGGGACTTCAGATATAATGCACTCAACCAAAACTACATTTCCAGAGTAGGCAGGAATCACGGGGGAGAATTTTCAGAAAGTCTTTGGGTCTTTTGTTTATTTGTTGTGGGGTTTTGCTTGTTTGTTTGTTTGTTTCGAGACAGGGTTTCTCTGTGTAGCCCTGGCTGTCCTGGAACTTGCTCTGTAGACCAGGCTGGTCTTGAACTCATAGAAATCGGCCTGCCTCTCCCCGCCTCCCCCAGTTCTGGGGTTAAAGGTGTGCACCACCATACCTATTTGTTTGGGTTTTTTTTTAAAGAGGTGTGTGTGTGTGTGCCACTTGAGATTTTGGATAAACTATCTAAAAAGAGCTTTCTCCAGATGGGTGATGGCGGCGCACACCTTTCATCCCAGTACTCAGAGGAGATCTCTGTGAGTTCAAGGCCAGCCTAGTCTACATAGTGAGTTCCAGGACAGCCAAGGCTATGTAGAGAGAACCTGTCTCAAAAACAAACAAACAAACAAACAAAACCAAAAACACTACCAACAACAAAAAGAGCTTTCTCCATAATCCCAGCATATGGGAAGCTGAGGCAGGATGATTTCAAGTTCAAGGCCAGCCTTTACTATGTGGTAAGATCCTGTTTCCAAACCAAGAGGAGGCTGAACTGGGCGGTGGTGGCGCGTGCCTTTAATCCCAGCACTTGGGAGGCAGAGGCAGGGGGATCTCTAAGTTCGAGGCCAGCCTGGGCTACAGAGTGAGTTCCAGGACAGGCTCCAAAGCTACACAGAGAAACCCTGTCTCAAAAAACTAAAAAAAAACAAACTAAAAAACAAAAACAAACAAACCAGGAGGCTGGAGAGAGGTGGTGAGTGCTTCCTGCTCTTGCAGAGAACCCAAGTTTGGTTCCCAGCACCCATATGGCAGCTAGCTCACAATGGGCTTTAACTCCAGTTTCAGGGAATCCAACACCACCTTCTGGCCTCTGTGGGCATTGCATACATGTGGTGCACATACATACAGGCAAACACTCATACACAGAAAATACAAGTAAACCATTAAAAACTAAAACAAGCCAGGTACAGTGACATACTCCTGTGATTGCAGCATGCAGGAGGCAGAGGCAGGTGGGTTTCTGTGAGTTCCAGGACCCCCAAGCCCACATAGTATGACCCCATCTTATTAAACAAACAAACAAGCAAAAAGCTTATCTAGCTGGTAGGTACCTTACTGGGCCACCAATACCCTTCTGCCTTAGGAGACACACACACACTTTGTAATGGAGAACAGATATGCTCATGACTAGCCACACAACTTACCAGGCCCACTGCCAAGTGAAAATGTGAGGCCCTTTGTTTATAACTAGGAATTTCAAGATGGCAACGGCAGAGGCATCAAGTAAGTGTGGGGCTCTGGCCGACAACTGTATAGTTTACATGCCCACGAGTCCTGGCCACCCCAAGGCTGTCGAGCAAAGAGTTACAAGGAGCCTAGGAATCCATGGACCTGCCAAGCCTGCCCTGGACTACTCACATCCAGATGTTAGGTAATAGGAATGTGCCTTTGCTAAAGTCACTCACGCTGTTAACATCTGAGCAGCTGTACCCCACTTTGCTGACTAGCAATCTGTTCTTATCTCTGATGTACCTGCCTCAAAGCCAGGAAGGTTGATGAGAATCTTCACCCCAAAAGCACCCAACCACAGCACAGAGATGAGGCATGGCGGTGGAACTGAGAAAACCAGTCTACACCTCCAAACCATAGCACCATCGAAGCCTTTGCTCCCTGTGGCTAACCTAAGCCACCTGGCACTCTGCCCAGTGCCCCCTGGCCTCTCTCCCTACAGCCATCCCACAGGGTTCCCACTGCCTCAGCCTCACACGGCTTCTCTCAAGAGGCCAGCCTGTTCCTGCCTCGAGGGCCCTGTGCCCTGGCTATGCGTTTTGTTTGGTACTCGTCCACTGATCTCAGGTCTGTCGCTTGTCACAAACACCTCGGTTAACTCCTCAGCACCTGCCCACGATCCCTGAGGTAGCTATGCAGTGATCCTCTATCAGATGACCCCTTCAAAACTTTTTAAAAAGTCGGATGTTAATACTTTGCTCAGCCCCCTCCACAACCAATGTTCTCATTTGTTTACGGTGTTCCCCGCAGGATCCATGAGTCTTGCACGTCTCCAAGTGCCTGGACAGCAGAGGCAGAACACACTTGCTGTAAGCCAAACCAAGTTCACCAAATGTCCAGGGTCCAATAAACAAATGTCTGAATTGTTTGTTAAACCATTCCGTGTTACGGCTAATTTTTAGGAAATGTTCAGTCCATGGTAGAGTGCTAGTATTTACATTTGTGTGTGTGTGTGTGTGTGTGTGTGTGTGTGTGTGTGTGTGTGTGTGTGTGCAGTGTCGGGTGTTCTTTTGAGACACTTGTCTCATTGTGTAGCCCTGGAACCAAGTATGTCGACCAGGCTGGCCTTGAACTTGCAGCACTCCTCCTGCTTCCCTGTTCTCCCAGGGCTGAGATTTCAGGAGTGCATCATGATACCTGCTTCACATTTAAGTATGTGACCTTGACGAATTTCATAGCCACCCCTCTGAGCTAAGTACAGGTACCACCTTGGCCCTGAGGGAACCAAACGTACAGAGGCCCGTACCTGAAAGGCCCTGGGCAGCAAGGCAGGTGTGAGAGCTCCACCCCTGGCCTGAAACTTCCCAAGACGGCAGCACCCCCCCAGTCCCCACCCCACCTCCACCCCACCCCCCACCCCCACCCCACGCTCTCACCTTCATGACTGTGTTGTAGATGGAGATGAAATTGGAGACGAGGTCCAGGTACCTGGTGGTGAAGACCAGAGCAAAAAGAACCTGGCTCTTCCCAGAGATGCCTGTGTGGGGTGAACAAGGGACCCTGAGAACACAGTCTTCAGGTGGCCACACAGGCGCCAGGTACGCCTGTCCCCGCCCCGCTCCAAGTCACTGGAGTTCTTCTGCCTCTCGTGGAGCTGTTGATCTGTCACCAAATAAAGATCTGAACGCTACGTTCCCAGTCACCCTGCGTGCGCCACCTTGGTGCTTCTCTGTGGAGGATGCGGGGGTAGTGTGAGTCGCCCCGGGTGGGGGTGTTGAGGCTGTTCTGTGTGCCACCCCCGGAGCTCCAGTGGCAACCCCAGAGCTCCATCCTGGGAGAACAAGGCACTGACTCCAGGTGCTGATTCACCGGGGAGACAGGCAGGCAGATGAAGACGCGGGCCAGCAGCACTCTGTATCCCAAAAGGCACAAATGTAAAAAGCCCTTTCCCGACTTACAATTATGCCTATTTTTACTCATTATAATACAAAAATCAGGGGTGCAACTCAGTGACTTGCCAAGCATGTACAAGGTCCTGGGTTCCGTCCCAACAGTGCAATTAGTAAACAATAAACACCAAATAGAGCATGCACAAGCAACCAAGCCTGAGTGCACAGACCTCGGGCCATTGCTCACTGTATGCGCCTGAGTGCATGACCCAGTGGTGCCTTGTTCTCCACGCTGTCTCTTTTTTCTTTCTCTCTTTTGAGACAGGGTCTTTCTGTGCAGTCCTGACTGGCATGGAGCTTGCTATAAAGAATAGGCTGGCTTGCCGGGCATGGTGGTGCTAGCCTTTAATCCCAACACTCGGGAGGCAGTGGCAGGCCTTTTGAGTTCAAGGCCAGCCAGGGCTATACAGTGAAACCATGTCTCAAAATTAATTAATTAATAATAATAATAATAATAATAATAATAATAATAAAAAGGGCTGGCCTCAAGCTTTTAGCAACTCTCCCTTCCTCTACCTTTTCAGTGCTGGGGTATAGGTGTGTACCACCACCTGCCCAGCTCCAAGGTCTGCCTGTCTGTCTTTCTTTTTAAAAAGGATTTATTTACTTTGAGAGACGGCTCAGTAGTTAAGAGCACTTACTGCTCTTGTAGAAGACTGGGGTTTGGTTCCCAGCCCCCACAAAGTGGCTCACACCTGCCTGTAACTCCAGTCTCCAGAGAACTGACGTCCTCCTCTGGCCCCCACCATCAAGGCAAGCAAACAGACTCAGGTACTCACACATACACAGAAAAGGGATACATAAATGTAATAAAATACTATTTCTTTTAGCTAGGTGTGGTGATGCACACCTTCAATCCCAGCACTCAGGAGGCCAAGTTGGGTGGATCTCTGTGAGTTCCAGTCCAGCTACAACCACATAGTGATAACATGTTTCAAAATATAAACAAAAAGTGTATGTGTGTGTGTGTGTGTGTGTGTGTGTGTGTGTGTGTGTGTGTGTAACACAAGTGTACCTGGTACCCTTGTAAGTACCTGGAACTGGAGTTACAGTTATAAGCCATGATGTAGGTGCTAGGAATTGAATCCAGGTCCTCCGCAAGAGCAATCAGTGCTCTAACCACTGATCCATCTTTCCAGCCCTGGCCCATGGTGTTTCTTGGCCTCCTTGGTCTATTCTTTCTTTATTTGAGTTAGAGTCTTGTTATATAGCTCAGAATGGCCTTGAACTTCCAATTCTCCTACCTAAGCCTCCCAAAGGTTATTTATTTACTTAGTATATGTTTGTAGTGTTTGTGTGTGCACACATGCCATGTATGGAGATCAGAGGACAGCTTTCATGGGATGGCTCCCTCCTTGCACCACGTGGATCAAACTCAGATGCTCAAACTTGACATGTCCCTTAACCCACCAGGCCATCTCACCTGCCCAATCTTTAGTATTTTGAGACAGTATCTCACATAGCCCAGGCTGGCCTCAAACTCTCTGTGTAGACAGAGTTGGCCCTGAGTTCCTAATTCTCTGCCACCACTTCCTGAGTGCTGGGATTACAGGCTAGTGCCATCACAACCAGCGCTGTCCTGGAACTCGCTCTGTAGACCAGGCTGGCCTCAAACTCACAGAGATCCTCCTGCCTCTGCCTCCTGAGGGCTGGGATTAAAGGTGTGCACCACCGCCGCCCGGCCTACTAGGGACTTTTAGATGAAAGTTTCAGAGTCCAGAGAGTTCCCTCGAGCTTTCATTCAGCGTCTACTAAGGTTGATGTCACACCTAGTGGCCATAAAGGTTCTCAAAAGAAGACAAGAACAAGGGCTAGACCTCTGTGCAGCGGTGCAGCACATAACTCCCTCACTCAGAATGCAGAGACAGAGGACTTAAGACACAAGGAGCTTTGTCTCTAAATAAATAAATAAATAGTCAGGCATGGTGGTGCACATCATTAATCCCAGCACTCGGGAGGCAGAGGCAGGAGGATCTCTGTGAGTTTGAGGCCAGCGTGGTCTATGGAGCGAGATCCAGGACAGCCAGGGCTGTTAATGCAGAAAAACCCTGTATCGAAAACCCACCACCACCACCACCAAACAAACAAACAAACAAATAAGGATTGGGTGTGTCCTAACGGCAGGGCACTTGCTTGGCACATACAAGGTTCCGGGTTCCATCTCCGGCACCAGAATAAATGATCAAAACAAACAGTGAAAGCTCTCTCGTCTTGATTCCACTCCCACCTCCCCCGTGTGCCCGCCTCACCTGCACCTTCCCTGCTGGGACCCTGAAGCAACAGGTAACCCTTTGCACTCCTCTGGCCACTGCTGGTGGTCATGGCGGTGGTGCCAAGGGCCAGGTACCTCTGTTTCCTTCTTCCCTGCCTTGCCTTTGTCAGTCTAACCATTCCCCTTCACAGTGCCCATGTCTCTGCAGCCAAGGTCAACTGACCTTACCCCTGGTCTCAAGAGCAGCTAAAATCACCGGCCGCCATCCCTCTCCTGGCTCCGGTAGCATCCTGCAGCTTTGCCTCCCCTTCTACGGCTCTACCTGTCTCTACCAAAACAGCAGCCCCCACCCATCCTGCCCATGACGCTCCCTGAAGCACGGGCACAGGTCCAGGTGACTTCCGTCTTGGGCCTCCAGCCTCCAGGTGCCCTGAGCCAGACTGTGAGTGACAGTCTCTCAGGAGGCTCCAGGCCCCTGTAACTTCCAGTTCACTGCAGAGCCACCGGATCCAACCTTACTCAGCCCAGTCCCTCTCCTATCCAGTCTCCCAGGTGACAGACATCTCAACCTCCATCTCTTGATGCAGGAGAGACCTGCTGTGCCTCGTCCTCTGTCTCTACATCTTCCATCTACATCTTCTGAATCGTCCATGGCTTCCTTAGTCCTGGATCCTGAGCACCTCTGGACCACCCTACCTTCTGGATTCCTCTCCCTCCTGTGTGTCCTTCCCAGGATATGCCCTATGCTCTGCGGCTTTTATGTGTCTGCACCGGTGTTCTCAACTCTGTATCCTGTTTCTGGGCACACACACTGCCCATCCTCTTCCTCCACGTAGCCCTCAGTTGTTCTCTGCTTCCTCAGCCCTGGTGGAGTCTGAGTTTACCCCAAAGCCCCCATCTGAATGCCTAACACAGGCAGGGACACAAGGGACAAAAGATGGCTGAAAGACAGTGTCCATTGCACCACGGGGGACTGCAATCATCAATCCAACCTGGAAACTTCTCCCAACCATAGCAAGGCAGCAAGGCAGCCAGACCTCTGGCCACACGGAGCCCCTCCAATATCTCCCATCTTCCCACAGGGCCAGCTCCAGCCCCCTGGGCCAGGCTGGGGTCACTAGCACGCAGGAAAAGGAAGACTCTCCCTGGGGAGTAGAAGGCGGGAGAGTGGAGGGAAAGACCCTAAGACTGGGGGTCTTCTAAATACGCACTCTTCCCTCCTAGTGAGGGGGAGGGTGGCCGCCCCCCCCAAGTCCTCGCCCAGTAGCAGTGGCACCGCCAGCTTGGAGTGGAGGATAGGGCGAGGGAGGTGCGGTAGCAGTATCCGTGGAGGCGGAAGCCAGGCTCCGGCAGAATCTCCCGGATCCTCGGGTGTCGAACAACTTCACTGAAGTCTTTGGAAGCGCGCGCGGTTCCCTCTGAGCCCGAGTCCCCACCCTGGTCCCGTCCCGCCCCGCCCGGGCGCCGCTCACCGGCGCAGCTCTTGGACCTCCAGATCTTCCCCAGGAGCAAGAACATGGCCAGGAGGTGGCTCAGGTCCCCGAGGATTCGGAACACATTCATGGTCCCGCCCGCCGCTTCCCGCGCCGCGTCGCGCGGAACTTCCAGGGAACTTTCTGGAGCGCCGAGCGAGCGCCGCCGCTGCCACGTCCCCGTCCCCGCGCCGCGCGGTGCCCCAGGCCGCTGCCGCGCCCCCGCGCGCGCGCTCCCGCCGCGCGCACTCCCGCCGCGCGCACCCTTGGCCGCGCGGTGACGTGGCGGGGCGGCCGGGCGGGCGCGGGCGAGGAGCCAGGAAGCGGCGCTTCCCACGTCCCCACGCCGACGGGCGGGGCAGGTCGCACGGCCGCTGCTGGCCTACGCCCCTCTCCGGGCGTGCATACGCACCCAGGGGTCCCCCTGATCCCCAGAAAGCACCGTCACAGCCTGGCACTTGGCTAAAAGCTGAGTCCCACGGCCAAAGCTCTGCTGGGGCCTGGGAGGTGGAAGCAGGCTCTCTCTGCGGCTGTCAACCTCCTGGGTTGGAACTCCTGGGAAGCCGGGCTGCAACTAGCCCTGAGCCTCTCACCTGTTGATCTGGATAGCTCTGGGCTAACCTTGTCGATGGCTTTGGGTGTGGAGACAGGCTGACCCGGACTCCCCTCTCTGGGCCTTAGTATTGACCTCCTTACAACGGAGCTGCTGCTGAGAGCGTGAACGAAGCTAAGTGTGTGGCTGGATCCCACGCCTTCATTTCTGTTCCCCTCTTCTTCATGTGAGAAGACGCTGGAAAACATTTTGCTGACCAGGAAAAACTCCAAATGGCAGAGAGGCGGGCAGGGTAGAGTGGGAAGAACCTTCAGTGGGCTTGAGGCCTCCCACTGTGTGGGTTCTTGAGCAGGGCACAGGTCTCTGAACCTGTAGACATGGAATCAAGGGTCCTACTGCCCTCTCCTTGATCCCAGCACCCCTCCCGTTCACTGGAGCGCTTCATCTCTCCTCTTCCAGCTCCCACTGCTTGCAAGAGAGGCTTTGGCAGGATGAAGATCTGCCACTACCACATTCACCAGCTCTTTCCATCTCCCCCCTCCCCAGTGCCCTTCACCACCACTCCCAGCACAAAACAGTCCTGGGAGGCTTGGCATGTGCCCCCAGGGAGTATCATGGACTGTGGTCTGAGGCAGTGCAGCATGTAGGACCCTGGAATGGCTTCCTGTGAATCTGCAGGTAAGAAAACACACACACACACACACACACACACACACACACACACACACACACACACACACACCACAGTAGGGCCAGGCTTGTGGCTCAGTTGGTAGGGTGCTTGCCTAGAACACACAAAAACCTAGGTTCAATCCCTGGTGGGATGGATCAGCCAGTAAAGTCACGTGATGACCAGCTTGACAACCTGAGCTCAGTCCCCAGAACCCACGTGCTATGGTGTGTGTTCACAATGTAAATAAAACAAAACAAAACAGAACTGGGTGTTGGTGGTGTGTACCTATAATCCCTGCATTTGGAAGATGAAGGCAAGATCAGGAGTTAAGATCGTATAATGACTGGGCTAAATGTCACACACACACACACACACACACACACACACACACACACACACTGTTGTGTGACAAAACTTTTCCTGGGGAGATGAAACACACTCCTCTACTCACCCCAGATAGGGAGCCTATCACAGACCAAAATATGGATATCACCAAAGTCCAGTTGGTGAACCGGTGAGTTTTATTGGGGTTAGTTACAGGAGCAGAAATGACTCAGAGACAGCTGCATCACCAAGGCTCACCCCAGCATGGGTGACAGCTCACAAAGCTGGGAACCTCAAGCACACTGCACAGCCTGCAGGCAGCTCCACAGGTTGGAGACTGTCCTTTCCAGGGGCCTCGGTCCAAACCTCTTCCAGGCAGCTCTTCTGGTTTGAGAGTCTTCTAATACGACACACACACACACACACACACACACACACACACACACTAGCTGAGAAAGACCGCAAGATGAGACATGTGCAAAACAAAGCTGGAGAACAGCATCTGAACAATGTGTCCAGCTAGGCATTGCCATTCTCACACTATACCCAGAATCCTGGGTCCAGAGAGGTGAAATCATTCTTTCTTTTTTCTTGGTTTGTTTGCTTTTCTTTTTTCAAGACAGGGTTTCTCTGTGTAGTCATGTCTATCCTGGAACTCACTCTGTAGACCAGGCTGGCCTCAAACTCAGAGATCCACCTGCCTCTGCCTCTTGAGTGCTGGAACTAAAGGTGTGTGCCACCACTGCCTGGCTGTGAAATCGTTTCTGATTAACACACACACACACACACACACACACACACACACACACACCGTGTTAGCCCGAGGCCCAGCCCCAATCTGACTGCACTGTCCTGCTAGTAGATAGGATGGGGTGTGGGGGGGGTTCCCAGTCCAGAGCAGAGAGTGAGGGGGTGGGACCCTGTGTAGCAAGGACTCCCACCTGATAGGAAGCTTTCCCACAATGAAAGCCACAGGCTTGCGTATCTGTGGGAGGGTTGCATACCCATTGGGTGCTAGGCCCCATCAGGTGTGCTGGGCAGCTTCTCCCTGTTCAGCCTTTGAGCCTGTGGGGCAGGCAATGGGGCCTGAGGTCAGTGAAGTGAGATGCATGGCGTGGCCGTGGCCCTCTGGGAAGATAAATGGTCCTCAGCCCTCTCTGTCCCCTGCTTTCACCCAACCCTGCCTAGATGCCTTCCCTAAGTCGATGCCCAGAGAAGGCGGTGGCTATTTAAATCCCTCAGGTGAGGCTACCCAACCTGCTGGCACCTCCTTCCAGCGCCCACGTCCTGCTCAAGCCAGAGAGAAGCGTGTGCAACACATCTGTCCTCTTGGGAAGCAACCCAGCTGTCTGTGGGGCCTGGGGGCTGGGATGGGGCTGTGTCTTCAGCTTCCTGTAATTCCTCCCTGGAGACCTTGGCAGGGGAGACTGGCCAAGGCCAGCAGGCCTGAGAAGTGGCCACTGTGGTGCCAAATGGGAAAGGTTGGGAAGCTGCAGGCCTTGTCCTGGGCCTGCCACTGCGGCCGTGAGCCTTTGCATGCCTCTTCTCTGGGCCTCAGCTCGCCTGTCTGTTAAATGGGTCGTCTTCCTGAGGCTCCTGCAAAATGAATGCTAAGTCTGCCTTTCACAGATGGGGAAATGGGTGGTCCGAGTTGTTTGTGCCCGCAGCCTGCATCAGCATCCTTTCCCCCAGGACTCCCCAGCCTATCCCCTGCCTCCAGCCTCCTGCACCATCATCGTTCCCCATCAGTCCCTGGCACCGTCCCTGGTGAGTGGGAAAGAGTGCCTTACCCTCCATGCCTCAATTTCCACCCCCCTCCCCAAAATATGCTTGCTGAGGTGAAGCCAAGAGGGAAATTTCCCTCAGCTCAAAGGGTGAAGAGTGTTCCTTCTCATTACCAAAGAACCTTGTGTGTTCAAAGTCAAGTTGTGGGAGAGAGAATGAGGATCACTCAACTATAGAAAAAATGATCCACAGGCATAGTCCCACAATAATGTTTTCTTTATCCCCCCTACTGACTGCATTGCTTGTTAGATTTCACCATTGTGTGGAATGCCCTGCCGAGTGTGGGCTGACTCCCCAGCAGAGTCCCAGAAAGCAGGGAGACTATTCTATGGGCTTACTTCATCACTAAGCTTTCCCAGGCCCCTGGGGCATGGCCTCAAACAGCCAGCCAGGGTTCTCTCCCTGAAACCTGGCCTCGAGTGTCCCAAAAGTTCACTCCCTGGCAGGTTCAGAGCTGGTGGCATTTTACAGATCAGACAGCCAAGGTTGTGAAACCTCCCTTCCACTTTTAGTGCCAAGTGTATTTATTGAAGACCAGCTGTGTGCCCGGCACCCTGAGGACTGAAAAAAAAAAGTCAATGCAGCCTGCAGGATTTCTTTGGGTGCCCAGCGTGGAGGAAGGGACTCTTCACAAACAGGGCAAGACCCAGGGGATGGAGTAAGAAGCCTCCTTAGAGGAAGTTTTGAGCAGGGTTGTAATTAAGGAAAGTGTCAGGGCAAGTGAGCTTTGAGTTGGAATTTGCCTCAAGAACAAAACCTGGAGAGAGGGCTCCAGGAAGTAGAGACCTTGTCTAAGGACAAGAAGATAGGCTGTGGCCCACTGTTTCAATGCGTCCTGTCTGCCCCGCACTTAAAAGGATGTCAGCAAACGGAGCTTGAAACAGATGAACTTCAGGCTAGGCAGATGAGCCTAGGCTTCATCAGATGAGTCTTGGGCTTCATCAGCCGGGGAGCTACCCATTTTAAACTATTGACTCTCTCACATCCATAACCTGTGTGGGGTTTTTTTTGGTTTTTTGTTTGTCTGTTTTGTTTTGTTTTAAACTGACTTGGGGGATGGTCACAGGGCCAAACAAAGTTAGCAAAGTGTCTAAAGCGCCTTGCATAGAACAGGTAAAGATCACGCGCCAGTTCCTCGATCCCCCTTTGCAGGAAACTGAGGCCCAAAGAGGGCCCGAAAAGCGGACCTGAGAGGAAACACGGAACCCGTGCCGCTTCAGAGGGCAATTCCCGCTACACAGCGCCTTCCTGGCGCGTTAGATTTTTGCCGCTGGAAGTGCTCGGAATTGACCGTGCGGGGGTGACATGGGTTTACGCACTTCACGGAGCTGTGCTTCTGAGGTGTGTGCGCTACGCTGGGAGCGTTACTCTAGGGACGGGTGTGGTTTTCTGAGACCCCCAAACGCCGTGGTCGGCCCGGCTGCTCCAGCCTGGTGCGGCGAGTCGTGAGCTGGGCCTGGCCCGGGCGGGGTTCCCACGGCAACCGCAAAGCCGCTCCCCGCGTCTCCCGAGTGACGAGGCGCGAGCCAAGACCCGGAGCCTGGATTTCTGGAGCCGAGCCACGGAGCGAGGCTGGAGAGAGATCGCGGCTGGCCAAGAGAGGAGGGGAGCGACGCAGCCTTTCGTCCTTGCGCTGGCGTCCCCGAGGGCATCCGGCAAACGCCACTCCCACTCACCCCGGCCTCAGTGTGGTCACCAGCTGCCGCCTGGGGATTCCTTCCCTGCTTTCCAGGTGGGGAGACCGAGGGCTGGGCTGCACCCCAGTGTCACTGGGTGAAGTGGGCAAAGCCGGGACCTACTCTTGGTGGCCCGCATCCCGACCGAGAACTGTGCAGAACCACGAGCATCTCCTCGGTTGGAGACCAGCCCAGTTAGTAA